GCCGGTGCTGAGCAGACAGGCACAATAGAATTACATTACTGCTCCAGCGAAATCCATCAATACTCAAAGCAGTGCCGGGGGGAAGGAATCATAAGTGATTTGGAACCTGAGAGCAGGGAGGTGCATACATCAGTGAATATGAAGTCTGAGCACTGAGTAGTTACAGTGTAGCACGAAGGCACTTTTGCTGTGTTCTGATGAATATTTTGATAGTTTGCCGTGGATGTGTTTGCGTAGAAACAATTTTTAAAAGATGGCGAGAACCTCACCTTTTTTGCTGGGTGGGTGTGGTAATGCACTTCCTCTTGGTGCCAGCGTGGGAAAATTGTTTTCCATTAAAGAAGGCACAGACCTAACACGCAAACGCAAACAAGCAATTGTGGATTTTTTTTCTTTGGTTTGACTGTTTGTTTGTTGTTTTGTTTTTTAATTCAGTGCATAAATGAGTCACCTTTCTCGTGCAAGACTACATCGAGCCAGATGTCCCCTGCACGCCGACTGTATCGTCGTCAAGGCGTCATCATCCAGCGTGTCACCAACGGAGGAAGCTTCATCGCTGAAGTTTGAGGATTTTTCAACCTGGAAACAGCAAAAAAGGGGGAAGAGATAAGAAAGGTTCAGCAGGGACAAAAGCTTACAGCCAACCCACCAAAAAATGATTTTTAGAGCCACCTAGTGGTTATTTGTGTTAGCTGCAACGCTGACTCTGGCTTATTAAGGACATCATGATCTCTAGTAGGATTGTTGGAAGTAAAGACATCAGCACACAAGTAATTTCTGGTTTAATCAATTTTTTCCCCTTTTGTTTGGGTTTGAAGGGAAAAAAAGAAAGAAAAACAAAATTACATTTAAGTCCTTCATTGCTGAAAATACTTCACACACCTGCTGATCATTACCCAGCATTAGAAAAACAAAATCAGCACTCGTTATGCTAAAATAAACCTTAACATAACATACACGAGTCTTCAAGTATCCATGAAAAGTAGCATTTATTGTTTTTATTAGTACACTGTTCTCAATGCTTTACAAGTACGGCTTGTTATGAGTGCATCGCATGGAAGCGTGTGGGTAAAACCTGATTCAGTGCATCTTCCGGTAGCTCCTTCAGCTGTGAGTCTCTGAAGAGGTGGCCTCTTAAAGCTGACTGCAGCATCACTGTGTCCTTAAAAGAGAATGCAGAGGACGGATATGGACAGAAAGAGAAATCTGGGCCAGAGTGTCTAGACATTTTTTTTACATAACATTTCTATCAGATATTAATAACTTCCTTTGCATAAGCGTGTTACATACCCTGTTTCTGTGCTCCCTCCAGCATATCTGAATGTCTAATGCTGCTTTCTCCTTTTCTTCTTTCTCTCCGTCACCTGTGACTGATTCCTCACCTCCCTCTGCCTCCTCTTTGCTCCCCGTGTCCCTCTCCTCTCCCTCTCTCACACCTGTGCTGCCTCGAGTCTCCTCTGCCAATGTGGGAGGAAGAGAGGAAAGCTCAGCCGGTGCAAGTTTACTGTTTTCCTCCTCCAGAGTTTGGATCCGAGTTCGCAACTGTTTCAACTCCTGTCTGGGAAACACAAAACACACGCGTGCAAAGCAATAAATAAACACAACTTTGCATGAAAAGCAAACTCCACCTGCAAATCACTACTTAAGTGATCAATTACTTAAGACTTGAAATGGAATTACACTTGGCTTTTAACTTAAAACTACAATGATCAATTTTATGAACAATGCAAATTGAAGAAAAGTGTGGACACACTGAATCACATCCATGTCAAACACCAAATGCAGGAGTGAAAGTGTACTTATGCTGCCGTCTCTCTTCATCGTGTAGTTTTTTCTGTTCAGCTTTCCACTGTTTTGTCGCTTTCTCTAGTTTTTCTCTTTCAGTCTTCAGCTGTTTCACTTCATCACTGGAACCACAGACAACACAGATTAAGTATAGAGAACAACAGCTGCTGTTACGGATGCAATAATGTGGTAGGTTCAGATTATTCATTTATTAGACTTTTACATTTAGAAGTAGTGTTTTGTTTTTTAACTGAGCAGTCTCAGGCTGCTCGTCACTCACTCTCTACTTGACAGCAACTCTTCAAGTGCCATTTTCTCCTCCTCCAATTGGCTCGAGCGTTCCCTCAACTCCGAAACCTCCTCCCTTTCATCAGTGAGCGTTCCCCCGGAGACCACTGCCTCTGTTGCCATGGTAAACGCCAGACTCTCAGTGAGTGTGGTCTGGACTTCCTTATCCAATAGGATGGTGTTCTTTGGTGACTGGGCGTGTCTTTTGCTGTCTTCCAGCCTCTGACAGGAGGAGAGAGTCTGTTAGCTGCGAGCTTAGAAACAGAGGCAGGCAACTGCTCGTGTTTACATGAACAACTGGTTACAGCTTCCTCTCACCTTCTCCACCTCCAACAGCCGTCTCAACAGTCTCTGTTTACTCCACTCTCTGTAATCTGGGACACATCATTACACACACTATTTTCAGTAACATTACAGCACACAGCAGAAAACTGTAACCACTTTATGACCATCCTCTTGATCTCCAGGATTTTCACTTGTGACC